GAATTTGACGTTCCCCTTCTGCTCTGAAGGTGCCTGACAGATGCTAATCCTTGCGCTAGCCAGGCTCAGAGACTCCCCCGTGGAGAGCCAGGTGGGCTGCAGCCACACTGTAAAGGAGCTTCCTCTGCCCCATGCTGTGAGGAAGGGTTTCTCAGCCTCAGTCCTCTTGCCATCATTAGGCGTTGGACACTCGTTTTTGTGGGGGACTGTCTTGCACAATGTCCTGACCTCTACCACTAGATGCCAGTAGCACCCTACACTCCAGTTGTGACAACCAAAATGTCTCCAGACATTGCCAAATATATGCTGGGAGCAAAACTGCCCCCAAATGAGAACCACTGGAATGGGGCAATGTTTTTGAAACTTAGGTGTATCAGAATCGCCTAGAAGGCCTGTTAAAACACAGATTCCTGGGCAGCATCCCCAGAGTTTGATTCCATGGGTCTGGGGCAGGACCTGAAGATTTTCAGTTCTCTAAAATAGTTTCTGGGTAATGCTGATACTGCTGGTGCCACACTCTGGAAACCACTAGCACAGGGAAATTCCCACCTGGTTCAGTTTGGTTGTACCTGGAACAGAGGGTCACATTCTCTTTTCGTACTCTGCCCACCCCCATCCCGTCCCCCAGCACAAGGTGTGCAAGTCTCCACTTTTCGACAGAGCCCTGACTTCTTCAGGTATCCACTCTCCCAGCCATATGTTTAGGGGACCTGCACTATATCCAGCTCCAGGGAATGGCTCTTGCAGGGCGTGAGCCACCTGTATGGGTCCCATTCTTCTTGCCAGTGATCGATTTAGATAGAAACAGATGATAAATTCTAGCTACTGAGATGTGAGAAGTTTTTCTCATTTTAAAAAGGGAAAACAAGAAACAGCTTCAGTCTCGTTCTGAGCATTAGGTTTAGAGGTGATGCCTGGCACCGTGGCAGCTGTCTTGTGACAATTAGGGGAACAGCATGAGGGTAGTGCGGAGACAACAGGGGTGGCAGTGAAGGAAAATGGAACCCGGATCTGTGATAAGGGTGTCGCACTGTTGAATTAGCCGACCCTGGATTCGCTCTCCTCTGGATTTATGTTTAATCTGCTCTGAATTTTCATAATTTATAGCAGAAGTATCCTGATAGATACAGTTAGCATGTGCAAAGGGCTTGGATTCCTTGAATCAAAAGGAGGCCCATCAGTGTCCAGAGCTGTGCTGGGTGATATGGTAGCCACTAGCCATATGTGGCTTTGGAAATCAAAATCTTAATTACAATTAAAACTTTGCTTTCTCTTTTACACTAGGTCCGTGTCCAGTGTTCAGTATTCACATGTCACCAGGGCCTACCATACTGAGTGGCCCTGGTCTAGTAAATAAGGGGAAGAGGAGCCTGAGATGAGGTTAGGTTAGTTTCTCAACCCTCACTTACACTCTGTTTTTCTAATCATCCCCACACAAGCTTTATTATAATTCCATAGGGCTCCTATATACTCTGTTATTTGTACGTTGGAAAGAGTAAGATTTTTTTTTCATCCCCTCTCCTCCCCTCCAGAACTAATTTTCACTTCCTTGGGGCTGTACTGTCCCCTACTGAGAATGCATGGGTTATCGTAGTAATCTTGAATAATTTCCGGCAGGCAGTTTAGGTCACTGTAAAGAATTTGGATTTTATTAAAACTGCAGGGAAGCAACAAAAGGATTTTGAGGATGGTACTGGCATGGCCCGTTTTGTCTTTAGAAAGTCACCTGGGCT